AAATGGCAGCAGGTATGCTTTAACTAAACTTTAACAGCTATTTTGAAGTGTGGAACACTGAATACATGAGATGCTGCGGGCGCTTTAATTAAAGTGGTTCTCAGGGGCTGCTCTAATTAAAGCATCCCCCCACCCTGAAGCACATGTAAAGTTTATAACCGTTAAGGAAGATTTATGGAACCACTTACCAAATCGTTACCTTGAGTGCTCACCACAATGTAATAATGTTAATCATGATGGATTCTTCTGACTGTTCTGGGACTGTAAAATGTAATCCCATAGAAATTCCATTGTAGCTTGCTATAATTACTGTCCACTTACACTGAAGTATTTCTTGGATTCTGTTTGACTGTACTAAATTTAAACTTCAACCTTTACATTACTATAAAAATAGGTCTGTTAGAGAAGTGCTGGGGCAATATTAAAATAAGTAGCTGGTTATGTAAGGCTATACCTAAAAGCGATTGCCAGAATTCTCCTGAGATCACCATCGTTCCACATCAAAAAGTCACCATTAGTGACCATTAGTTGTTCTGCTTTAGAGTGAAACCTCCAATCCCACCTCCAAAGGATACCCCTGTTTCTGTTCAGCAATATGCCTTATGGTTTTAGATGTACTTCAACAGGCAGCAAGTTTTTAAACAAGGCAGTACCTGCAACAAAAGACTTGGTGCATATATAGTACCTAAAATCACTTCTTGAGGAAACTGAGTTGGTGGGAGAAAAGCAGGAAAATGTGTTTTCAGGCTTATAACATTTTTAAACATCTTGGTGGTGGTCAACAATGTCAAAATACAGCATCCCTCAACCATTAGAGAAATGTCAAAATAACCTCCCTTTTCCTTTAAAGCTGGTTTGTGACTCTGAAAGTGGCAGGTGTTTGATTCCTTCTGCATTCAGTATCATTACTAGATAGCTATTTGGTGAAAGGTTTATTTAAACAGGCATGTCTTGATGTGCACTGGTGGTACTTGAGCTCAGCGTAAGTACCAGTATGTTCTGTAATTGTTGTTTCTTTACACTTGTCGCCAGTGGTTCTCAATATTTTTATACTCAAGACGCCCCTTGAAAAATGCCAACTCTTAGCTTTCACTCGTTTTTTGACTATGGAAAAAATAATGGAGCAATTCTTCTGTTGCAAAGAACTCAGAAAGATCACAATGGGTCAGAATGCTTTTGACACTATGGATTCCTATTTGAAATCTCGGGGGTGTGAATCAAATGTAGATATTTGCACCATATAGCACCCACAAAAGGATCTCATGGTACCCAAGGGTGCCATGGCACACCGTTTAAGAAGTGCTGCTTAAGACGGTTTCCCCGACTGGCAACAAGATACAACATAAGCTTTCCCAAAGGTTGGGCAAAGAGAGATGGCTGTTAAGATAATGGAGTTCTTGCCAAAATAGACTTTTAAAAATGAGGAGGATTTTGTTCAAGACCCAGCTGCTGTAATATATGCAGGCCAATCAAATTAGTGACCTTTGTATGCTGTAATAGCTAAAATCACCTGGGTCAGTCCCACACATTTTCCCATATAAGCTGCTGCTGCTAAATTTGCCCGGTAAAGAAATGACCAGCAGTTTTCTCCTGCTAGATCTTACAGCAACATTAAAAATAATGCAGTATTTACAGCTCTTCCAGCAAATCTGTCAACCCATCAAAAGATTAGCAACAACATGAAGCTTTTTTCAAACAGCTAATGGAAGTTTCCCAATTACAAGCCCTGGGTCTCATGGGCTAGGAAGACATTCAAAAAGCTGGAGCCTGAATTTAGTCAACCTTTGCAGATTAGTCATCTGCCTAGGCTGAACTGGTTTGTAACAGGACAAACATTTGCTCTGGACTGAGGTAATGCACACACATGTAGTTGCTCAGGCCAGGTGCCGGGGGGCGCTAGAGTGCTAGAGTCGGGGGCGCTGGGCAGACCCCAGTGCGGTGCCAGCAGCCAAAGGCAGAATAAGCGTCGTCCTGCCCGGGGTGGGGCGGTTAACCCTGAGCACAGAGCGGCAGCCAGCATCACATCAGGGTCTGCC